TATTTAATGTATAGTTAAATTTTATAGAATGCGAATGGCAGTGTGAACATGAGGGTGCTTGCAACTTACCGTGTGGTGTACCTTGCATCCGACTTCCATGCGATTTGCGATGTGAAAAATTGCTAAGTTGTGGACATCAATGTTTTGGTCTTTGCGGTAAGCCTTATTATTGTGAAGATGTTCCGTATATATCTACTAACAAAACATTTAAACTTATATGTCTCGTTAATTTTTTAATTATAATTTATAGGCGAGAAATGCCCACCATCAAAGTACTGTGCAGATTGCACTACAGATGATAATGTCAAAAATCAAGGTTTATTTATTTATTTTTTTTTTTTGACTAGACAATTTTATGGGCGAAAATTATTTTTACTGATTTTTCGATTGCCAATATTAGCTGTTGATTTGATTATGCAAGAAACGTTTGCAGAAGTGGATTGGACTCTTGAACGAATGGTTGTTTTAGCGTGTGGTCATGTATACACAGCAGAAAGCTTAGACAATTGGATGAATATGAAAGAATATTACGAAATAGATAATGATAGCAACTGGATCCGAATCAAACCAATTACCTCGAAAATAATAGATTCTAAAAATTGTCCACAATGCCGTGCTCCAATTAAGAATATATATCGTTACGGAAGAGCAACCAAAAAAACATGTTTTGGATATACAAAACAAAAAATTTTTAATGAAATGTGAATACCAATTGAAAGAACAAAACAGAAGTATTAAGAATGCTACAGCACAACTAGAAAATAAGCGAAAGAAAATTTTGGATGAAATTAAAATGCCTCCGAAAGTTAAAAAAAAAAAAGAAATGAACATTATGGAAAAAGATTCTTCATTTCAAGCAATTCCAGAAGTTATACCAACAGAACAATACATATTACTTGAAAAATATCATATCCCGACATCGCATGAAGAAAGATGGAATAATCATATATCCGTGCTTCTAGCCATATATCGAAAGTTGATGCGATTAATGTTGGCGACTAAGTCTCCTCCATATAAATTAGCATACGAGGCTGCAGTATCCCTATTGTAAGTTAATATTTCTTAAAGTTTAGGAAAATATTCAATTTGCTTATAACTTTTCGCTTTTAAACTATATATAGGTATAATTCTAAAACCAAAGTTAATATGGATGATCTAGTCAAAAATTTTGAATCTTTGGATAT